TACTACGTACTACGTAGTACTATACTAATATATATTACTATATAGTAACTACGTTAGTACGTACTACCTACTACTTCGTCCACTATATATATATATATATATATATATATGGATATGGAGAGAGAGAGAGAGGGGGAAGGTGTACATAAGTTAATCGGCTAATATGATCTACAACAAACTAACTTTTACACAATTCCAAGTTGAATCCTTACTAATACAACAGCATATGTGAAAAGTATCATATGTTATAGCGAAAAAAAGAAAAGGTTCCATTTCGTATTTGACTTCATTTTTAAACTTGCGTTAGGGTAAAATACGGAAAACCGAGTAGCGAACGGCCATCGTTTTATTAAAATATCCAACAATTCTATGCCATAAATAACCATTCCACATTACCTCCAAAACCTCCACTTCCCATAACCATCCATCCATAACCTAAGACTAACCACCATTCAAAAACTAGCCACCATTAAACTTTCAATTTTATTCAAAAACCACTCCATAAATACCCCCTTCCATCACCAAAAACCACAGAAATCAAATAAACTAACAAAATAAAACGTGAAGAAAAGGGAAAAAAGAGAGACAACACTATGGCATGCTACCAGCTCCCTGCAATTTTATTGATCTTGGCAGTCCTTACGGCAGCCTCCGTGGCACCAGTAGCGCAAGCGCAATCTGCGAATGCGCATCCGGCAGGATTCTCTGAGTGCTTCTCGGGTCTGTGGGACAAGACGGGATGCTGGCAGGAGGTCTACAACTTCTACACCACTGGCAAGAACTTACCTGGTTTGAATTGTTGCAAGGCATCTCTGGAAGTGGGAGCACAATGCTGGCTCACATTTTGGGTACCTGGTGGCCTCAGTCCAGCTCTCATCTCCCAGCTCAAATCTTACTGCACTGCATTTGTTGCGCGCTCAGGCTCGGGGTCTGCGCCTGCACCCGGAATGTCTGTCTAGGCAGAAACCCTTGTCGAAGCCCACCTAAATGCTCCCAAAATGGCGCATGTCAAATAAAGAGTGGAGCTTCATTATCTTTACTAGTATGAGGGAATATTTCCTTCTTATTTTGGGATTTAAGTGTAATTTTTGTGGTATGGAACTTGTCAGCTATTGTTCCCAGTGCTTTTTGAATGTAAGCCATGAAAAAGTTATTTTTTGCCTATATTTTTAAGTATTGTGGAGATCTCTCATCAAAGTTTCAGAATTTTTTTTGGTTTTTATGGGTTTAACATTCTGACTATGCCCAAAATTAAATAAAAACACAAGACAGCTTATTTGTGATGGTTTGAATATTCTCAGAAGCAGAATACTTGGCCTGAATAACATTAAAAAAAAAAAACAATACTTGGGATAAAACTTTCAACCCAAGTATATTTTAAATGTTAAGACCGATGCAGTTTACAAATCTAACAACGAAAAAGGAGAAACGCTTCCTCTTATTGATGAACTTTTTTTTGAAACGTTACTAAATTCTTTTTTTTTTTTTAAGTCTAAAGGGATGACTACATTTTTCCCATTTTGATATTGCTGCACATATAATACAAGTAAAGCATTGTCATTGAAAATAATAAATATTACTTCGAGATCGCTAACTTTTCTTGCCAAGATAACAAGAGCGTAGTTAACAGTATTATGTTAAAATACAACGTTTTTCCTTTTGCTAAGTAAAACACGACCTTTTTCATAAGGACATTTTTAAATATATGTTTTATAAGGGAGTGGTTTGTGTAGAGCCTAGGCTCTAAACAATCAAATTAGAGCCTACCTTCAAATAGTATCGAGAAATGTGGTTTCAATACTGAATATCTTTGTGATAGCTTTAAAATATATTTTATCTTTATTTATAAATTTTAAAGCTTAAAACATAGTGTAGATAGACAAATCTCTAAAACTTGAAAATTGAAGGTCCAAAAATGCGTTGCAAAATCCATTTTTTTCTCTTGTCCATACATCTTGATGATCAATTTGAGAATATTTGGGTATCAAAAATTTTTGAGGTAAGCTCTAACTTGATTGTTGAGAGCTTCGGCTCTATATAAACTTTTCCCTTTTCGTAAAGCTGGATTTTCGAAAAAAGTTGTATAAAATGAGACAATTTACCTATTGTACAAGGAGGTCAGGATTGTTTATAACTATCTGATGTGAAATTTGATAGGTTGAGTGTGTCATAAAGTTCAAGAGTTTTTTTTAAAAAAAATTGTACTTGATCAATGGAATAAATGCAACCACTTAATTTTACATCCAGAAGATAAGGTGAATTATGACCAACTTATACAAAAGATAAAAAGTGCGGTTTGCATAGAGCCGAAGTTCTAAATAATCAAAACTATTGCAAGAAATAACTTAAGAGTAATGATCCTATGAAACCCTCTCACACCCATGTATGTAGGACCCCAAAAGATCACCATTAAATTTGGTATAGATCTCTAAAAAAATCAAGTCCCACACTCATGTGATAACTTTTCTAGAGATCTGTGTCAAATTTAATGGTGATCTTTTGAGATCTTACACACATGGGTATGGTAGGATCTCATAAGATCATTATTTATAACTTAAACATGTCAATTTTCGTATGAGATTGCCTACAAAGAGACCATTTATCTTTTCTACATGGAAGTCACATTCATTTCCACTCATTAGATATCAAATTGGATGGCTTGAGGTAAACCATGAAGTCCGAGAATTTATTATTTTTTTGGAACTTTGTATCTATTCAATGACACTTTTATAACCACCTATTTTGAAATTTAAAGGATAAAAATGATTGTAACCTCCACGTACAAAAAATAAATGATCTCTTTGTAAACAACACCTTTAAAGACAGTCCCTTTTCATACACACTCTATCTTCACAAACGAAAAAGAAACCTAAACACTAGAAAAGGTGACCCCCAAAAAACTACTCATGACACCCATCTTCATTGTACTAGAATAAAAAAAAAATACAGCAAAAAACTGAAGTACTGAGTAAAAAGAAAAGGAAAAACGTAGACTTAGGGCATCAGAATGTACCCTTTTGTGCATAAGTTGAAACGAACTGAAGTTGAACCATTTCCTACCTGATTTTTGCAGGTAAAGCATGAAAAGGCTCCTCTTTCAAATCTACAATCTCCTCATTGATTTCCACTGTTGTTTTTTCTGTGATCACTTTCATCTCTTCCTCTCTCTAAGCCATCATCTTCAAATTTGTTAATCTCTCTAGGCCATCATCTTCACATTTGTTAATCGTTTGGAGACAAAACCCACTTAATGGGGCAAATGGGTTGAACCCTCACACCTTGATAAGAGGTGTTGCCAACTGAAATCTTTCAGAGCAGTTTAGAGAGAGAATGTACCAAGGTTAGAGAGCACAGATCTAACTTACTCCAACCCATCTCTCTCTCTCTCTCTCTCAAAGAGAAAATCTGCAAATAGTTCAAGTGAAAGTATTGGCCAAGTTAACCGGTTTTAGGCCAATTCCAATCTCAAGGTGGTTTTAAAATCAAACAGCTGTATATTCTTACAAACCAAACTTGTACTCAAAATTTCTCTAAGATGAGTTACATATGCGATAATCCCAGGAATACGAGAGTTTGAAATTCATTGTGGTTAACTTTCTAAACTCATCTATGCCATTATAATCAACAACAACTCTCTCTTGTGAATTGCAACATTCTTTTTTTTTTCTGATCAATGTGAATTGCAATAGTCATCATGCATTTCCATTGGTGGATATTTGTGAAATGTGGCTCTAAGATTTTGAAGCTTTGGATGAACTTCTCCATTCGGGCTCCAAGCTCCAAGTCTTAGTGGCCAAAGTACAAATGAGTAGGTACAGAAGAAATAATGCAATCATGTGGTATGGTTTGGTGATCGAACGGAAAGGCTAGCAGACAATACAAATGAGCAGCACAGAAATAGCTCAAGGTTTTGGAGAGCAACCTATGATGCAATACATTTAATTAATATAGACATATACTTTCAAAAATAAGCTATACTCTCCTTGTATATAACATACATAAGACATAACGAATAGAATAGAGATTTCAATCACTAACAGATACATTCAAGCTGACGAGCAACTAGAGCAAAGACGATAGCAATGGACGATCTCATGGACGGAATTGGTGAAGACATCAACACATGATGAAACAGAAGTTGCATGGTACGGCATGATATCCATTTGCTAATACATTTTCCTCTTTGATACATAGCCTTCATTGAAAACCAGAAAGAAGGCACACATCAAATTGCATCCAAGATAAACAAACAAGGTTCGAAACAAATAACAGATACAGAACATAGTCAAGACTATTCACTAGAACAAAAAGACTCTCAGTAATCCATTTATGGCTGGCAAGTCATTGCATCATGCCAACAGATGCCTGAATGAGATTCCAAACAAGCAACTGAGATCAATAATGAATCTTGTACAACCAGTTTCCAATCATCTGGGAGTATAGCATCTACCTTCATGCGTATCTAAGCTAGCATTTATTGAATGAAATGACAGCTTCAATGAGATTGCTATGAGCACTGAACACTAGATTAGACACCATAGGCCCTGTGCTTTTGTTGTTCACATATGACATTAATAGTGTCAAGACACAGAACTGACGGATCTATAAGAAAAAATGTCTCAACGAGTTGATCATGCCTAACAGATTTAGGAGTTTTACTAGTGAGACTGCTGTGGACATGTTCATTAGCAAATCTTTCTGGTTGGCAAATTTCAGTGCATGCTATTGTGTCTCCTTACCACAAGAATCACCTTTAGGAACCACAACCCATAGTCCCCAAACCAGGCATTAAGATGACCCAAAATTTACAATCCCGAGTCAGCTAAGAAATGTTTTATTAGTTTTCTGTAATCTTAAGTGGGACAAAAAGATTAAGCATATGTGACCAAACCAAGTCATTTTGAATGTTAACTTATATAGCCATGCTAATATGAGAAATATGGTAGCCGGGAGTATATTCTCCTGATCTCCTTTAAGGATATTAGAGGAACTATGAAATAGAGTAAGCTCACTCTTCGCACAAGATGGTAACATAAGAGAGCCATGTGGAAAGGTTGGAGACAAACTTCGCACAAGACAAAGGCGGCAATGAATATCAAAGAATAGCATCAATAAGACTATGCCAAGAGTATGCCACATGAGACACTAGTTATGGCCGTGTCCATGGCTACGAACTTATCCTTGGTAACTTCTACAATTAATAGGAGTGAAGCCCAATGACAAAAGAACCTCTAACATATAGTACATCAAGCAAAGAACCACATGTGTTCTTTGTCATATAAATTGAAAGATAACCTAGACTTGCTTCGCATACTCATAGAAAGCAATGTTAGAGCAAACATTATGGCACATGGCTTGTCAAGTGCATGCCTACATATTCACGGATCCACAAGTTTCATAATAATCAACCCCATTAAAATCAGAGGAGGACGCAAGTTGAAGTGATGTTGGGAATGAAAAAACCCAATTTTGAATGAGGGCATAAATCTTCAAATAAAAAAATTAAAGAGAGAGGCCCAAGATCATGACTCACGCACATCACAAGGAGTTACAATTTCATCAGTACTTGTATAACTTACGAATATCCTCCAAATAATCAGCCCATTACATCTCACATTGTGCATAAAGTACACAACATACTCAAAATTCTTCACATATGAATCAAATTGAAGCCCACATATGAATCAAATTCAAGCCCATCAGTAGACTTTTCCATTGAAATATCAAGGATAGTGGGACCTTCATCAGCAACCTTTTCCATTGAGATGATAATGGGACAGCTAATGAATAAAAAAAAATGCCATTGAAAAAGAAATAGCCCTAAAAAATGCCACAAGTTCTTACCTCTCTGGAAAAACTCAAACAAACCCAAGTCTCATTTCAGTGGGATTGTACAGGAACTTCTCCAATTGTAGAAACTCGCTCTTCCTCTGGTATAATGCTCCAATTTGGTGATTGCACAGCTCTCAACCACTTGAAATCGTCAACATTTGCCCAGTTACCAGTCTCTTCACCAAGCCCACATTCATGTAGCTCCTCATCAAGGCCTTCATAGGATTTACAATAAGGGGCAAACCTCACACCACTGCTATCTTCGATAATAGGCCTGCTCTTAACCCTAAGATAAAAGTCTGTAACTTTTGCGTTGTGAATTCTTATCTGATGCGAAGGTAGCATGAAAATGCAGTTTTCCACCTCTTCTATGAGAACTGAACCAGTAATAGGGCCGGAGGAGACATGGCAACCACTCAATCGATGAACAAACAGAGCCCTCAATCTCCCTTTCAAGAAAATTTTACAGTTTGTGAGATCTGAAAGTGTAAAATCTCCATTAATGGAATCATTCAGATCCTTTACCAGAAGACCACCTTCATGGTTGCGAAAACCAGGGGAATCAAACACATTAGAGCTTGAAGAGGTCTCTAAGGGAGTCTCTGGAAAAGATTCAAAGCCTTCCACTTTAGATTCCTCTAGTACACTGGTCTGGTTCTTCTTTGTGGGCTTATTCTTGAAAGAAAACTTCTTTTTGGGAACAATCTCAGAGTTAATGGAATTAAGTTGTTGCTTCAATTCTGATATGGTTTTCTGAGCAGAACGAACCTCATAAGCAGGTAAAAAGTACGAGCTCTCGGCTAAAAGTTTCTCAAGCCCTTCAATGGCATTGGATATGGAGTTAAGCTTTGATTTGACTAGCATTTGGTCTGATGAATAAGGGTTTCTAGGACATTCTTGGAACTGGTTTTCTATGGCTTGTTTAGTGGAGGAGAAGTGAGAAACAAAAGAGGAGACGGATTCGAAAGAAGGATCACTATTAGGGTTTGCAGAGGAGGAGGATTCAATGCGCTGGTTGTGGAGATTGGAGAGGCGCTCGAGCATGGCAGCATGCTTTCGATTGATGGTAGGGTCAGAGTTTGATGAAGGATTGAGGATCTTGTTTTCTTCCATATCTGATGCATGAAAGAGAAAGATCAGTCCTTGAAGGATTTCAGAGAAAGAAGTAGCAACATAAATGAACAACCCATAGCCTATAGGAGAGAGAGAGATTACCCTTTAGGTATGGCAAGCTGGAAATGCAGTTTTTATTGAAGCTGGGACACCTGGAAATTGGCTGAAAAGGAAAACTGATGCCTGGAAGCTATGAACCTTTGTTCAGTAACCTGTCCTGGAGAATTGGTGCTGGCAATTTGCCCTCTTTGGAACCTGAAAAGCTAGAAACATTGTTTTCAATTGTTCCTGTTCATTATTTAACACATTAATTATATGTTGCAAATTATCCTCTGAATGAGTTTCTTCTATTTTAAAGCATCCATATCATTGCTTAGAAAAAACATCATAAATTATTGCCACATAAATCTCTCTCCATTCCTCTCTCGAATAGCGTCTTTGGTGGCCATAGATGAGTCTACTATTTGTTTAAATCAACTTGTATAAACAATCAGAATAAATGTGTGAATAGCTAATAACTCTACCAAACCAACAGATAACTCTATCAAACTAGGCTAATAAAAGTGTTTCCCTATTCATATAATTTTTTAACATGCACTCAAAATCAGTAGACACTAATATATCAGTAAATTAATAGCAATAAGTATTTTGAGACTCGGCCGGGTACACTCAGACTTGACCAAGTAACTCAGCCTTGCTCTATGGGAGAGGCGAGTTTTCCCTGAATACATTGTACACACATTCTTAATGTTTATATATAACAATGTCCAAACCTTAACAAGCAACACTCAAGTAGCGCACTGGGTAGTGTGCATGCTTGTTGTCCATGAGGTTTCAAATCCCTCCATAATCATTGCCTTTTTATTTTTATTTTAAGAGAAAACTGGTGAAAAAAAGAGGGTTTGAAAAGAGGATTTGTACCCAAGACCTCTTACAAAGAGTACTTCAACAGCCACGCTCAACCCAACACCACCAAATATCTTATCAATCAAAGTGGAATTGAAGGCTAATTATATATCTATTGTTATACCACATTTTTTTTTAAAAAAAAAAAGGAAACAATGAGATGAAAACGAGGATTCAAACCCAAGAAGTATCACATATATACCCCTAAAAGCGGCGAGCCTGACCAGCATGTCATTCAACGCATAGTATTATAAATGTGAATCATATATTATATATACATTAATTTATGTGTTGATTTTTTATTTTTTTAAACTCGAACTCTACTCAGGCGAGTTACTCGGACTTGTCCGAGTAATTCGGCTCGGCCAAGGGCTGAGTACCTTGGCTGAGTTGATTTTCTAAACACTGATACAAATAGATCATTATCTATCTTAACTTCAGAAAATACAGATAAATTTATAACAATAATACATTAAACGTTTTTGTTGATTTTTCAGTATTGCATAAAAATCAACATTACTAAGAAACCAGAAAACAAAAATATATTACCAAAAAATCAAATAACAACAATACAAGTAATCATTATTAATTTTAAATTCATAAACTAGACCCAAATGCAGAAAATCAGTATAGTAAATTACTGAAAATCAATAAACCGCTAGCAAAATGTATTGAATAATCGTAAACAATTTACTATTGAATTAGTAAATTTACTTATTAGTCAGTAAACAGACCATTAAATCAGTAAATTTTCTGATTAATCAAACATTTTTTTAGCTTTTAAACTTAATCGAAAATCAGTAAAGTTTCTGATTGATCAAAAAAATTACCATTAAATCGGTAAATTTTCTGATTAATCAAACAATTTACTATTAGTCAGCAAATCAACAGAAAATAAATAATTATTATGATTAAGCAAAGAATTTACCATTAAATCCCAGTAGATTTACCATTAAAACAGTAAATTCACTAATAAATCGCTAGTATTGATTATTCAGCATTACACAAAAATAAGAAAAAAAAAAACTCAAAGACAGCAATGTGATAACTTGTTTTAGATCGGTGAGAACCTTTCCATTTTGCAAGAAGAAAGACAGAGATCAGGGAAATAATGGTACAAATAATAATAATAATAATAATAATAACATACCTGGAAATTGGAGAAGCTTGATGCCCTCGTGCAGAGAGGCTGACGCCTAACAAAGAGAGAGAAAGGGACCAGAGCAATAGGGCTAAAGTGAGATCGACGCCTCACAGAGGATTTGGAGGAGAGAGAGCAGGGGAGTAGTTTAGAGAGAGAAAGAGGGCTTTACGCGCGTCCTAGAGAGAGAGAGAGACAGAGAGAGAGAGAGGAGCGGCTTTGGCGAGATGGCTTGGACACTGGCGCTCGGGGAAGAGAGCGACAGAGTGGGGTTGGAAGAATGTATCAAAATATCGACTGTAGCATTATAGCGTGCTCCTGCGTAGGATCATACTGTACAACTACGTGGTAAAAGAGTAATTTGGAAGAATTTTATTGATCTGAATTTTTGGGATCCATCTAGGCATCATCATATGATATTTGAGCAGGAATCCTGTGCGTCCCTCACCCACAAGGTCCTTTATAGAACCCCAATCTATGATCATGGAATCCCCATTTGCATCTTGAAAATGGATTGGCCTACGTTACCTGCGCTAGGTTTTAGAGGATTATATACTACAAGATCATTTATTTTAGGGTGAGGTTTGTATAAGGTGTCAACTTTATACTATTAAAGTAAGGTACACTTTAAAATTATGACGAAAAAGCAACTTCAGCATCGTAATGACTTTGCAAAGATATGCAAATTTATTGCTACCCTGAATTATGAAATTGAAAGTTCTAGAAATGGTGATGATCAAGCAGAACTATGAACACTTAAAAATCTTGAAATAGACAGTCCAGATAATGTGCTACAAATGAACTATTTTTAGAACTAAAAATTATCTTTTTTTTATATATATCTACAAATCTCGATGTTGAGATGATCAATTTGAAGGTTTTACAGCATAAGAAAAGCCTTCTCAATAGATTTTTTGGTGCACCTTACTTGTAAGGTATAAGGTTCACACCTTTTATAAACTTTTTCTTTACTTTTGTTACAAGGAGGTTACAATTACTCCTTGCCATTAAATGTCAAAGAGAAAGAATCTAAACCGAGAGAAACAAAGCCCTGAGATCAACTTTGTTGGAGATAACTTAATAGGTTCAATTATTTTAGGTTTGGTGATAGTCAAAATCACAATACTTATATTTTCTTCAAACGATTGAGGGTATTATGGCAAAAAGAAATGGCTTTCTTGAGGAATAATAGAGAGGCTTAGTGATCTTTATAAAAAGAGGTAAAAAAGAGAAATACTCATCATTTAAGGGTCACCCTGTTGGATTTATGCAAAGGGATCTTTGAGAAGGAGATACTCTCCAAGAGATATGGCCTAATAAAGAGACGCAGTTTCTTCATGGGGTTTTGGGTTGGTAAGGTTTCCATTTCTAAATAGAAAGTCTCGGTTGCTTTTGAGATTCTATTTCTGATAATAGTGTGGTGGTAGGAAAGATGAGATTCTATTTCCAATAATAGTGCAGTGGCCTTTTGAGATTCTATTTCTGATAATAGTGTGGTGGTAGGAAAGATGAGATTCTATTTCCAATAATAGTGCAGTGGCCGGAAAGATGAGATTCTATTTCCAATAATAGTGCAGTGGTGGGAAAGATGAAGTTTATTGATCATATTGCTTAGTCAGGAGAGCGAGTTTAAAAAAGAAGATTGGTGAGGGTTTTTTTTACAGATGTTTGGATACATGTACATCTCATGTAACCCAAAATTGTCATCGATAGTGAATTTTCACTTGCCTAAGAAGTGGATGTAGCCTTATGGGGAGAACCACATAAATCGAGTGCCATTCTCGTGTGATTTTCATTTTTGCTTTGTTTATTGCACTTGATTTATAGTTGTATTTATCGATTTCGCATTTAGCTAATTGTGTAGATAATATTGGTTGGGGATCCCACTACTTGAGATTTCCAGTTTCATAAACGAGAGGTTCCAAGAACCTTACAAATCAGAATGAAGGCAAGAAAAGAGCTATTAAGGCAATAAAATGTCGAAAACCTTGGTATCAAATAGAGCACTAAAGATCCACCAAATATGTGGCATGTGGGCTTGAATGACCCCTCAAATTCTTGCACCAATTTATGATCTTCGTATATTTTGCTTTGAGGAGATTAAATGCAATAAAATAATCATGTAATACTGTCAATTCTAAAACATATTTGCTCTCATCTCTACTGCCCTATGAAGCTTTTGATTATGGGTTTCATAATCATGCTCCTTGAGTGGCGATGCCTCAAGGTTTAATGGCTCAAAGTAAGGTACTTTCCAAGAGAGAGTGAGAGAATGGGAGGGCATTGGTGGATAGAGACGAGAGTAGTCTAGAGGGAGACATAGGAAGGCATGGTTGGGGGGAGGAGAGAAGTTTAGGGTGGTGTTAGACAACTTTCAAAGCAGACTCTCTCTACTGACTTTCATTGATTATGGGATGCAGTGACAGGGTGAAAGCTGAAAACCTGTTTGATAAACTGTGGTACTGATAATTTTATCTATTTGGTAATAGAAAAGCTGGAAACTGTCAATAATATTGTTATTGTTAAATACGTATTTCATCGATATGATGTGAGAAATGCAGCTTTTTAAAAACATTTTGAAATTAAATGAGGTTACTTTCCTTCATCCAATATAATACCAAATATGTAAATAGATTCAAGGAATGCTTTTGTTATTGGAGATTTCATAAAAGTGAGTACTCTTATGCTACTAATATTTACATAAATAAGAAACAAAATCGATTTTCTTAATATCAAAATTTCACTCAATACACAGGCAGCCTTCAAGAGCAAACAAATGCCAGTAATTACCTATCAAAAGATATAAGTACATCTACTTGACAAAATGCTTTCTTCAACACAAATTTATAGGATATTAAAAGAGGATACTATCAAAAGATATAAGCACATCTACTTGTGAAGATGCACTTCTTCAATACAAATTTATAGGATATTTAAAAGAGGAGATGAGATTACGAAATAAAAATAAAAATGATATGAATATAGCATTTGGAGCCCACACCAGTTTCATTCCTAAATACTATGCCGGCTCCCTTACTCATGAACAAAGAAAAAATACTAACAAACTCATTCTTTATAAACAACTGAAGCATGTCAACCCATAAAATTGTTATAACATACCACTGATTTATAACATGGCCAAAAGACAATTCAAATAAGTCTAGATATACTATCAGATACACTTGAGGCTTCTAAGCACTTAGGATCAAATGAACATAAGTCAAGCACTTATGATCATATGTTGGTTGAATTCCAAGAAAACAATGGGCTTTCAAGTTGATTTAAAGCAAGCTATCTAGCAATTTCAGCCATTCAAACCCAAATTAAAACAAGATAATGATTCAGATATCATAAAAGATATCAAAGGATAA